AAACGCAGCATGCTCTGTTTGCACCTTGCTCTTTTGTTTAACAAAACATCCTGAAACTCTTGTTAAGTCACTAACGAGAAAATTATCATTTTTCACCATCACTGGATCATATTCTGTTGTGTGGATGTACCATAATTTACTTAACTAGTTCTTCTTTGGGTGGACACTTGGATTTTTTTCCCTTGCTATCATAATAACCACGGCTACAATGACCCTGTGTACTTGTCATTTCTGACGTGTGCCTATTTATTTACAAGATAAAGTCCCATGAAAGGAACTACTGTCTCAGAGGGTAGGTATGAAATGCATAAAACTACATTTGTAATTTTGACAAATAATGCCAAATTCCCTTCCATAGAGATTGTACCATTCTGTACAAGGTATGAGAGTTCTTGCTAACACTTCAATTCTTGATATCAAATGTAGAAATGTAGCTTCTAGGGATAATGGGTTCTATCAGACTACTCTGCAGTACTCCAAGAAGTCCTATTTCTCTGGAAGTCAGTAAGATGCAAGGCACAGAATTGATGTGGATGATATCCACCTACTGTTTGAAGCTTTACACCCTCTCAAAGTCAGAAAATTTCGTGAAAAATATATGAGGAAGCCCTTGTATAACGTTTTTGCTGAGGCTCATCCCCATATTGGGATTTAAATTTTGTTTCCTAGATGTGTATCAGCATTAAATCTGTAACACTGGCTTCATTCAGAGGCGCAATAGCTGAGTGGCCTAAGGCAATGGTAGAATAAGCAGCACAGCCTTTGGAGTTACACCCGCCTGCATTCTAATCTATAGCTCCCAGCTTCCCAATGGTGTGACTCTGGGTAAGTCATTTGGCAGAACTGAAGTTGTTTTTTGAGACAGATTCTCACTCTGACACCCTGAGTAGTGTGCCCTGGCATCACAGCAATCTCAAACTCTTGGGCTCAAGCGATCCTCTTGCCTCAGCCTCCCAAGTAGCTGGAAGTCTATGTTCCTGCCACAACATCCAGCTAATTTTTCTAGTTTTAGTAGGGAGGCGGGTGTCTAGCATTTGCTCAGACAATCCACTTGCCTCAGCCTCCCAGAATGCTAAGATTACAGGTGCCTGGCTTGAGGCTTTTTGTAAGATCATTAACATGGGAATAGTAGTGGTGGCTCCTACCTGTAATCCTAGCACTCTGGGAGGTTGAGACTTGAAGATCCCTTGAGCTCAGGAGTTCAAGACCAGCCTGAGCAGGAGTGAGAGCCTGTCTCTACTAAAAATGGGAAAAAAATTAGCCAGATGTGGTGGCCCATGCTGTAGTCCTAGCTACATGGGAGGTTGAGGCATGAAGATCGCTTGAAGCCAGGAGCTAGAGGTTGCAGTGAGCTAGGCTGATGCCACTGCACTGAAGTAGAGGTTGGGTGAGAGAGACTCTGTAAAAAAAAATAAAAAAGAAAAGAAAGAAAGAAGGAAAGAAAGAGAGAGGATACTAATGTCCACACCTTTTTGGACTGTTAAGACTAAAAGGAATCATGACTGGGAGGCTATTTAACCCATAATAGCATTCAACACTGACAGTCCCCTTTTGCCTTTCTGAAAATAGCAGAGAATTGGGAAGAAAAACCTTCAGGGCTTCTCAACAGTTAAAATTTATGTCATCACTTTCACGTGTTATAGTTTTCTTCATTACTATATAAGTAAACCCAGCATGGTTTGTTGTTTGGCTTCTCAAGTTACATGAGAGTGGAAGTATGGGGCCAAAGTTGTTAACTGACTGAACTACCAAAAACAGAGATTTTAAAAAAATGTTATTAAAAAACCCACCACTACCACAGCCACCACTGCCAAGTAGGCCTGGGTGAGCACACAGATAGTCAGAGCCTCTCACGGATAAGCCCACCTTCATGTCAAGCAATCAGAAAAGTTTAACTGCCTGCTGCGTTGGCCAGTGGGCAACGTATTACTATTTATTTCCCTCACTCTTCTTAAGTTTGGAGGTATCTCTATAACATATAAATAAATTTTATAAAGATTTACATGATAAAATGTAAAATACAATTTTTTTTGGCACTTGAAAGGTTAAATTTCGGTTGCATGGAGAATTAATTTCATTAAATACTTTAAATTTTCCCTTGTTTAACCAATACTTGTTGAGTGTCTACTATGTGCTAAGTGTTAAACTTACTGGGAACACTTAATTGGCTTAAAAATTCTAGGTGAAAGGCTCGGTGCTTGTGGCTCAAGCGGCTAAGGCGCCAGCCACATACACCTAAGGTGGTGGGTTCGAATCCAGCCCCGGCCCACCAAACAACAATAATGGCCGCAACCAAAAAATAGCCAGGCTTTGTGGCGGGCGCCTGTAATCCCAGCTACTTGGGAGGCAGAGGCAGGAGACTCGCTTGAGCCCAGGAGTTGGAGGTTGCTGTGAGCTGTGATGCCACGGCACTCTACCTAGAGGCTCAGCTTGAGGCTCTGTCTAAAAAAAAAAAAAAATTCTAGGTGAAAAAAAAGTACCATTCTTATTAGCACAGTCCAGTCCAAATTTGTTAACCTTTCAGCAAGTATTCAGGATAGGTTTATTATCATCCTAAATGATCTTCCAAAGAAGGCAGAATGATAAAATTGTTGAAACAATAAATGTAAAGTTGAAATCACTTGATAGTCCATGAATTTTATATATCTACTTGAAACTTCAATTGTAATAACACTTTTGACTTGTAAGTGCATTTGTCAGACGTACACAGTGAGTGTAATTTACTTAGCTAATTTCACTACCAGATTATGTTCTTTTAGGGCACAGAGACACAAACATCATAAATATGCCATTACTGCCTGCTCTCACATATCATTCAATAGCTCCACAGCTTAAATAGAAAAATAGTTTTAAAAGCACAAATTAATTACACCTATTTCCTAGGAGTATTTGAAAATGCTTTTTTAATACATGTATAAGAGATACCAAATCTACTTAATGGATTTAAGTAGATATGTGTTGGTACTATGCAAATATAATAATGGTAATAAAAATAATCATAGAAGTTATCATTTATTTAGTGCTTACTACCTATCAGAAATCATGTTCAGAGGTTTGAATAGGTTACCACCTTTAATCTGGCCAGAAACTTTTCAAAGGAGGCACTGGTGTTATTTCCATTATATAAAGGTGGAAACAGGTTTGAAGAGATTATCTTGCTTACATTACTCATGCTATTATTTTAGTGGAACTGGGGTCCAAACTAGGCCAATCCTACTTTTACACTATGCCATCTATGGCGTTATTCATTTATATTTAATAAAGAAACAGAATCCCCCTGTCCATATGCTGAAATACTCTTTACATGTTAGTTATAAGTTTTATTATTATAGGAAGTAATGGGCTTAAACCATAGTATGAAATGGTTTCTAAAAGTGGTTGGAATAACTCCATCCCATATCTGAGCTAAAAATTCTCTATGAGCACTTTTTCCAAAGTCTTCAGAGGTTTCTCTTTGGCACATATACTCATGAAAAGTTGTGTCCTAAAATGTAATACCCTATCCCCAGGCGAGGTGGCTCACATCTGTAATCCTAGCACTCTGGAAGGCCAAGAAGAGAGGATCGCTTGAGCTTAAGAGTTTGAGATCAGCCTGACCAAGAGTGAGATCCTGTCTCTAATAAAAATTAAAAAACAAAAACAAACTACTTGGGCATGGTGGTGGACCTGTAGCCCTAGCTACTGTCTTATACCTGTAGTCCTAGCTACTCTTGAGGCTGAGTTGAGAGGATTATTGAGCCCAGGACTTTGAAGTTGCTGTGATGCTAGGCACATATACTCATGAGAGTACACATCTAGGTACTAGTACTAGGATGCCATAGTACTCTAGTGAGACTCTGTCTGGAAAAAAAAAGTAGTATCCCTCAATCTTGCCCTGCCAGTCCCAAAACTTAACTAAGTGCTATAGTTTTAAGTATTATATACACCAAGGTAACTACTGAAGTTGTCAAAGGTACCCGTCTTCGAGAGAACAATGCCCTACAAACATTACCTTACTTGTTCCCTTAACATTTTAAAGACATTTATTAGTGTTAGAAGAGTTTACTGAAGGAGGAGAAGTAGATAGAATAAGAAAAATGAGTTCAAAAATCTAGGAAGGTCAGTGAAAGAAAATCCAGGCTTTTTCTTTCTTTCTTTTTTAACTTTAAAATGTTCATTTCACCCGACCAGTAACAACTGTAACCATATAGCTTTGATTTGGCTCCAAATACACTTGCACTGGAAGATCATTGTAATTCAAATCCATTCAGTGCTGCTTCACTTCTGTAATTTGTCAGCTAAGTTTAAGTAGTGTATCCTGCACCTATTTTTAATGATATAGCACATTGATAACATTTTCACTCATTTAAAGCCATGTTTACTGACAGAGACTTAGCACCAAAACAATTTTAAAAGGCATACTTTATACACTTACATAGCTTGAACAAGTAACTGATACAGGTTAAGCCCTGGCTAGTTCCGAATTTTCCCAATTAAGGTCACAGAGTTTTTAAATGGCACACTTTTAAAAAAGTTGTTAGAAATATTTTTTGATAGTGCAGAAATGAAACTCAAGGTCATAATATTCAATCCTTGCTCCAATATTTAAGCCACAGTCAAGCTGACTTTCAACTTGATTTTGCCTGGAGTTTTCTTAATAGAGTGGTGGAAACTTTGTTGCAAAATATGTTAAAGTTGTCAGTGACAAGAAAATGAGGGAGTAAACAGAGCTAAGAGAGGAAGAGAGGTGTCTAAAGTGCAGTGAGAATCAGTAAGTTGTTTGTGGGAATCTAAACTGACATGTACTTTTTAGAGACCCTCAAAATAAGGTAGGAATAAGAGGGAGATTTAAAAGGAAAAAAGAAAAGAAACAGCCAAAGAGGTGAGACACAGCCATTTAGATGGGAGGGGGGGTTGTCTAACTACACAATGAGGTCATCCTATCTCCCGGAAGTGACACGTAATCACCTGCTTTGCACTAGCTCCGCCCCTTCCCTCAGAGGTCCCGCCCCTCCGCCAGCAGCCGGGAGGGTGTTAGGGGGCGTTTCTCCAGGAGGAAAGCTGTGAGCTGCGACGCTGAGGAAGGGGACCCCAAAACGTCTGGCACTGCCCCCTCCAGGGATCATTTTGGACCGCGTCACTCGTCCCGGCGGGATTCTGATACGCTGAGGGGTCAACCTGATGGGTTTCGGGGTCAACGGAAGAGGGGAAGGGGAGCCCTGGCGGGGAGAACCCCCCGGCCCCCCGCCCAGCAGCTGAGGCACAGGAGGGCGGCCATCTTGGCCGGGAGGGTAGGGCTGGGGAGCTGCGGGCGCCGTGCGATTGGGGGGCTCGCCCGGAAGTGACGCCAACTACCCGGAAGCGGAGGGGGTTCCCTGGCCCACTCCCCCCTCGTTCGTTTGCTCCCCCGCTTCCTCCCCGCCCCCCTTCCTCTCCATTCGTTTCCCCCCCTCCCCGTTCCCTGCCTTCCTCCCCCCCCAGTCCGTCCCTCCCCCCCCAACCTCCGGAGCTGGGAAGAGAGTCAAGATGGCGGCGAAATCCGATGGCGGTGGCGTGGGGGTGGGCTTCGCCCAGCTGCACAACCTGGACGAGGCGGTGGGCAGCGGCGGCGAGGAGGACGGGGAGCCCGGGGGAGGCGGCTGCGGCGGCGGCGGCGACGGCAGCGAGCCCGGCGAGAGCAGCTCGCTGCACATCTGCCACTGCTGCAACACCTCCTCGTGCTACTGGGGCTGCCGCTCCGCCTGCCTGCGCTCCCTCCTGGGCAAGAAGCCGCGCCGCAGCGCCGCCGCCGCCGACGGGGGGGACCAGCCGCTGCAGCCTCCCGCGGCCGCCGGCGCCGACCGCCACCCCCCGACGCCCTCGGCCGCGCGGCCGCAGCCGCCGCCACCGCAGGTGGAGCGGCCGTGGCTCGACTGCCTGTGGATCGTGCTGGCGCTGCTGGTCTTCTTCGGGGACGTGGGCACCGACCTGTGGCTGGCCCTCGACTACTACCGCAAGGGGGACTACGGCTTCTTCGGGCTGACCCTCTTCTTCGTGCTGGTGCCGTCGCTGCTGGTGCAGAGCCTGAGCTTCCGCTGGTTCGTGCAGGACTACACGGGCGGCGGGCTGGGCGCCGTGGAGGGGCTCAGTAGCCGAGGCCCCCCCATGATGGGGGCCGGCTACGGCCGCGGCGGTCCGGGCGTGGGGGTCTCGGCCACGCCGGGGGCGCAGCGCCTGTGCCGCCTCTCCGTGTGGATCTGGCAGTCGGTCATCCACCTGCTGCAGATGGGGCAGGTGTGGAGGTAAGAGCACTGCGGGGGTGGGGGCGGGGGCTGGCGGGCCGGCCCTGCAGAGGGGGCCCCTGCGCCCTCCTGGCGCCGCGCGGCGCTGCCCCTCGGACGGGCTCGGCTCGGGGGGCGTTGGAGGGGTTGGCCACGCACTTCCCCTGGCGTCTCAAAAAGACCATCGCTTGATCTGGCTCTCTGGCCACGCCTTTTGGCCCAGGGAGGCCCAGGTCCTGCTGTTTGCCTCTCTCTGTCCCTGGTTCGCACTCAGTACTGAGACCCCGCCTCATCCTTTCCCCTCCTTCTCTGCAGACCTCTGTATCCCTGTTGTCCCTTTCCTCTATATCCCAAGGTAACTAGCCGCTAGCGCCTTTTATCTGCACCCCAGTTCGCGTCCTGGGGGTGGGGGTGAGAACCTTCCGCCAGTCGGTTTACGCTCGGTTTTGTCCCCCGGTGAGACATCTTCCCCCCTTCCCCCGTTTTCTCTCTGCAGTGGCCTGTGTGGGGCCCTGTGGAGAAACCCTCGCTGCCTCTCCTGAGCACTCCTTTATTTCACGCCCCCCCCTCCCCGCAATCCCAGCCCCTGCGAATGACTCCAGACCTCTACCCTCCTTGACGGAAAAATGACTTTTTGCTGGATTAGACGTGCCCTTTTCTTAGTTGACAGGTGAAAATTGGATAATATGTGATGGGTGCAAGCATTTGGTGTCGTTAACTCTTCACCACCAGAAAACCAGTTAGCCACCTGGACACCTCTTCTGGGAGAAGAGTGTTTCTGGTAGCAAGGCCAGTGTGTAAGTGACTGCTATTTCCCCAGGACCCAGGCTTGGCTTTATGGCCCTTTCCCCTTTTGTAGATTCCTGTTTGGCAGGTGAATCCCTCAAAAACCACTTGCAGGTGCTCTTTTTTGCCAGGAGCCTTCACAGTCTACCTCACTGGCTAAACTAAGGAAATGAGCCCATTAAACCTTAGTAAATCTGTGCCCACCAACTTCAATCAGTTTAAGCGTATTCTGGAAGGACCGAGTTGTAGGTGAGAGCATTTGCAAAAGAAAAAAATGTTACGGTAGATAAATTACTCAGAGACAAGCTCTTGGAATAAGACGTTTTACCTTGACTGCCCCCAGTCCTGTGCCCAGTAGGTTTCAGGCACTCAGTATTTCAGGTAATTGAGGTGTACTCAGATTACCTGAAGTGAAGTTCATTATCCTTTGAATGGTTTGTCCAGATCTCTATTCAGAAATTTTAAAAGTAGGAACATTTCAGAAAGTATGGGATTGAATGAAATCTTGAGAGTGAATGGGAGAACTTTGGCTCTACAGTTGGAATGCAAATCCAGGATAGGGGAAGTGAGGGGGTTCCTGAGCTTCCCCATCCTCCTAGAGTTGTTGGCTGGTGTTTCTAGGTTGAACCAAGAAGCTTTTCTTTTTAGCTGCATTTGTCTGCAGATTTTTTTATTTCCTGCTGATAAATTTTTAAGAAAAAAGGGAAAAAACAGAAAAACTGCTGATTGATTAACTTTTAGCCTTTGTGAGCATGACTTGGGGGCAAATAAAATTTTGTAATATGATCTGAGTTTGAGACCTAAATGCCTAAACACCCCTAACGTTCAAATTCATGCTAAATCAAAGGTGTAAGGGTGTTTGATATTTGGGGACTTTTTTTTTTTGGTTTCTGGCTGCAAATAATGAAGGGGAAGAGGGACAGAAAGGATAGGGAAGAGAGAGGTTTTGAAATACTAGTCGAATTTAAGGGCATATATGTAATAACTAGGCTTCTGCTGACCAAGCTGAAGTCACCTATCTCCATGTGTTAAACTTCTAAGTATAGGTAGTAAAAATGTTGGTGTCAGGTTAAAATTCCTGAGTGAATTGTTTCTAATGGAATCTGTCATAGGCATTTATTAGTAGTAAGCTTTCAGGATATGAAATCAGAAGTCAGTTTCACAATCTTTTAAGGCAGAATTCACCTAAACTTTAATTCTGTTTGGGCAATGTAGAAGTCCAGATTTTGGGCCAAAGTAAAACGCACATTTTAAGTGTATAATTCAGCTTTTGTAGTTTTTGTAAGGGGGTATATATATTTTTTCTGATCTTCATTTAACTTTCAAGGTCTGCTGTGAGATATGGTATATATATATATATTTAAAAGATGCTTGTGATTTTTTGTCTAATTTTTAAAAGTACTTTTAGAATATACTACTAGATATTTCATAAAGTTAAGGTATTAAAAGACATAATTCAGCTAAGTTATTTCTTCTAACATAGCTGTACATCAAAACCAGTATTTACTGAAGAAGAATTTTATTTATTTTTTTCCAGTAGGCTGGTTTTGGTCGCTCCTAGAGCAAGGTTTGCTCTCTGAATACCTGCTAGGCATGTTGTGTGCATGGAAATCATTCACATGTAAAAACTTTGGAGAAAGGTTTTTATTCTTTCCTTGTTTTAATCTCTGGGCAAACAATTGCTTGTCAGTATGTATAAACATATGTCATCTCTGCTTTTACTGCAGGTCTTTTGGGGTTGTAGTTCCCTTAATCATATTTGCTATTTAAAGTTTGCTAATTTCATGTGGTCACATGACAAAGATTAAAGTCTAGGAATTCTACATTTGGGTCACATTTCTAAGAAAAGATTTCAGTGAAGTTGTATGTTGTCTACACTGATTCCATTAAAATGTGAATACCTGTCTTTTCACATCTTTTTTTTTTTTTAAACGTAAACTTATTTGACTTTTACTTGGACAAAGCACAATGCCTTTTTAAGATAATTTAGCTTCCATGGACATTAAGGCGGTGGTGCCGCTTCTGTGGATATTGCCATTCTTGTCAAGATGGCAACTACTTGTCATCTTTTACCAAAATGACTTTACAGGATTTAAGGAAGTGTTTGTGGCTGGGCTGGAGTTGGAGGATGGAAGGGCAGCTGTCTGTAGGGTGATTGGGTATCCTGAGCCTACTTGTGCAGAGCACTGCTGTGTGATTAAGGTCTATTTAATGCACGCTTTACCCTCACTGATTGGTCAACATGTAACTTACCCTATAGTATCATTTGCTCTGTTTTTCAGATGCTTTTTTCCAGGGATAACAGGCGTGAGTCACTCATGCCAGGAATGTGACTCACATCAGGCTTCTCTTTAGTATGATGTTAATAGAAAGTGAGACCGTTTTCTTGGAGGGTTTGCTGTGAGGAGCAGGTGGTTCAGTTTGGGGATTGCGCTGTTGTATGTCAGTTTCTCCTTCAGTGTGCTGGCCTGTCTTGGCTGTGATGCCGCCTTTACAGGGGCTTGGTGTGTGGTCAGTGCTCTTCAGAACAGCAACGGTTCTTTAGCATTTCATCAAATGTCATGATGCCATTTCTCTCAATTATTATGTGTGTGCACCCTTCTCTTTTAGAGTAAAAGAAGATTTTACTCAAATTCTTTAGCGTTATTTGCCGTTTTTAAGGTGAGGATCATTATCTTGTGGGCTGGGGTAGATGGTTGCCTTCAGGAAGAAAAAAATATGCCTTCCCATTTCATAATGGGATCATCAGTCTGAAACTTTGCAGATTTCTAAAGCATGGCTTTAACACCTGCTCCCCCACCCGCTGCTCCATCTTGAGACTTTGGTATAACATAGGTTCACAGCTCTCTACATAACCAGCCTCCTTCTATACCCCCCGTATCTGAGGTGTTTAGTGTATTATGTGTTTTTTGGTTCATATTGATTATTTTAGAACATTCCCTAATTCTCACTGAGAATAAAATATAGTTTAGTTTATAAAGGAATAAGGTACCTGGGACCTGTTGGGAGACTCCTAGGGCAGACAGGACCTAGGCGGCTGTGGTTTCAGAAGCTCCACATGGGCAGCCAGGCTCAGTGAACACGGGTTTCAAGCTTATTCTGTGTGGAGATGGACGTTGGATTTGGGAGAGGAATGATCTGATACTGAGAAGTTTGTTCCCTGTTAATGGCACTGTAACAAAGTGACTCGGAAGCAGGAGTGTCTGAAAGCAGTTTGGCGTCTCGAGGGCGCGCCATGTTGTGGGTGGTCCACAAACCCCCAAGCATGGATCTCATTCTAAAAGGATTCTCAAGTTCAAAGCAGTTGTCTATAAATGTAGCCCACTTATTTGTCTTTTATGGGATATAAATGATATTTTTGTGATTGTGTTGTCCATAAAAGGTATAATCATTCTGTTTAATTTTGGAATTATTCTATTAAGTAGATTTGAGGAAACAACTGAGATTACAAATGATGGTGGACTGAGTGATGTGTAATGTTCCTCTAGTTCTAAGAGTTTGTAATGTAAGAGTGGAAAGGTTACCTTACAAATAAGGAAACTTGTCTGTCTGGGGCCAGGGTACCCGTCACAGACACATGAAGAGATTGTGTGCATGCCTTTGTGAATGTGTGCAGAAAGCTTTATGTGATCTGTTTATCATGGGGTTGCAATAATGTCAGATTATATTATAACTTAATAAGTTTTATCCATAAACTTAGTGAAATTCTGGTGGAAAAGCAACTTAATGGTTTCTTTGTTTTGGGAGGAGGCCTTTGCCCAGGCTGGAGTGCAGGGGCAGGATCATAGCTCATTACAGCCTCTAACTCCTGGCCTTAGAGTGATCCTCCTGCCTCAGTCTCCTGAATGACTGGGATTACAGATAGGAACCACCATGCCTGGTCTCGGTGGGGTTTTTTTGAGGGGAAACTTAGAGTGGAATTGAGCCAGAAAAAGTATAGTCAGAACAACTTTGAGAAAAAAGAGAACGGTTGAGACTTGCCTTGTCAGTAAGTAGATGTGCTGGGGTGTGTGGTTAAGTAGTCCCTGTGCTGCTGGCAGAAGAATTAAGCAAGTAGGTAGTGAAGGGGAATAAAGAGTCTGGAAATAAATTGGTAGATTAGAGGTGGCGTTTCTAGTCCGTGAATGGAGAAAGATTTTTTAACAAGTGATATCAGGGCAGTTGACTGTCTAATTGTGGCCTCCTAGAAACCTGTAAAGGACAGGTTCTATAAAATTAACAACGTAAACATAACATATTTAGTTGTAAAAACATTAGAAGAAAATGTAGCATGATTTTTTTTTTTATAATCTTGCAGTGGGCCAGAGCGTTTGGTACCATTAAGGGAAAAGGGGCAGATTTAACCACATGAAGTTGCCTCCTCTGGTTTATCCTCCTTCCTCTTCCCACCTGAGAAAATCTAGAAATTATACACGGTTAGCTGTGGGGGTTGGAAGGATAAATTTAGACCGAGATCCTTCTTCAAGGAGACTGAATATGAAGAGAACATCTCTGAAGATTATTTCTTCTTTTTTGGCGAACACTAACAGTAAAAACGTGACATTTATGGTGAATTTTCAAGGCAAGGATGAAAGAACGGCACGCTTTAGAGTAGAACTGCAACTAGTGATGAAACATAGTATTTTCAGCATGACCCAGAAACACAGCATCAAAATTACAGATGGTGCACATTCCTGGAATCCAGTCCAGAAATCACGAGTAGAGGTTCTGCTCTCCCTGGCTGACCACTTCCCTGCGCTGACCACCTCCTTAAATTCACCTGTTTTCACAGACCTGACATGCACTACCTGTGTGTAGCAAGCAGTACAGTGGGCCTAGTGCCTTATGTTGACCACCTCTGTGCTGATCAGGTTGTTAAGTCCCTTGGGCGGTCAAGTTACAGAGGTTCCACTGTGTCTGATTCTTAATGTTAAAACTTGTAGCAGATTAGACTTTCCAAGAAACTTGTTATGCTGATTTTATCAGCTCATGTTGTGAATTTGCATTTTCAGCTAAAAATGAAACTGTATTT